GTCTCAAAGAAGCCAAGGCCTCATATGATTGGCCAGAATGGCAACGTGCTATGGATATCGAACATAAACAACTTCTCCAAATGGGAACTTGGAAATTAATCGACCCACCTCCCAATGCCATACCCATTGCCAACAAATGGGTCTACATCAAAAAATGTGACCAACTTGGTAAGATTACCAAATACAAAGCACAATTGGTAGCAAAAGGATGCGCCCAATGTCCAGGTTACAACTATGTCAAAACTTTTTCACCTGTTGTACGCATGGAAACACTCTGTGCTATTCTTGCTCTAACAGTCAAGAATAAATACAAGATACAACAGATGGACATAAAGGGTGCTTACCTTAATGGCATTTTGAAGGAAAAGGTCTACATGAAACAACCAGAGGGGTACAACGATGGCACTGGACGAATTTGTGAACTTGTGAAAACCATCTATGGCTTGAAACAATCAGGTCGTGAATGGAACCACAAGTTGGACACCAAGCTCAAAGAGCTTGGATATACAAGACTTTATTTGGATCCTTGCACCTACATATGACGGGATGGAGATACAATCTCCATCATCACTGTTTGGGTTGATGACCTTCTTCTATTTGCATCAGGTGATGACTTGATGCATAAAATGAAGGAGGAAATCAAAGCTTCATGGGAGGTAACTGATCTGGGAGAGCCAAAGAAAATAATTGGCATTGAAATCTCTCATACTGGGAACTCCATCACAATTTCCCAACAGCAGTACATCGAGTCTATTCTCCAACGTGAAAATATGACAGATTGTAACCCCATCTCAACGCCGCTAGATCCAAAAGTCAAAATTTTACCAAATCCGGAAGGAAATCAAGGTAGCCGAAGTAACTACTTTGCACAATGTTTAGGTGAGCTACAATTCCTCGCCAATGCCACCCAACCGGATATTGCTTTTGCCGTCAACCGCCTTGCCTCTTACACTGCCAACCCCACAATACAACATGTCACGGCATTAAAACATATCCTACAATATCTCAAAGGCACAAAATCACATGGAATAACATATTCCAACTCCCAAGGCAACCAAGAAAATGACCTGTTCCATGGTTTCTTTCATGGTTTTGCTGATGCTGCCTATGCCGACACAGAAGACTACAAGTCCACAGCTGGCTATGTCTTCATCGCAGCAGGGGGAGCGATAACATGGCGTTCTAAAAGACAGACGTTTACTGCTCTCTCAACAACTGAAGCCGAATATGTTGCTTTATCAGAAGCTGCTCGTGAAGCCTACTGGCTCAGAAACCTTTACGAAGAACTTGGAATTGCACAAAAGTCACCAACAACAATCAAAGGTGACAACAATGGATCAATCTCAATAGCCAGGAACCCACAATTCCACAACCATGCCAAACACATCGCAGTTCGATACCATAGAGTACAAGATGCGATCAACGAAGGCATAATCAAAATTAAATCTTGCCATGATCCTGAACAAACAGCCAACATACTTACAAAGGCTTTATATTGCTTTAAACATCGCAAACACGTTGCCGAAATGGGAATAAGAGCGACACTAGAAGGAACTTAGAATAAGTGGTAGCTTTTCCCTACCCTTCCAGGAGGGTTTTTAACACACCCACAGTTCCTATCTATTAAAATACGTCAACGACTTGAAGGGGAGTGTTAATAAACATCGGACTAACAAGCCTAGTCTACGTATTAGGTAATCTACGTAGTTAAACAACTACGTACATCTCCTATGTCTCTCAATAAGACTTGCCTCCTGCTTCCATCTCAATAAAAGTTCATACAAAACTATCTCAAGTATATGATATAATCTTTTTCAATGTATTCTAATAATTGAATCCCGTCCAAGTGCTCTGTGAAGTGCATATTGCGGGGACGGCCAGTTACACACAAATCCTGGTGACACAAGTTGAGACTCCGCTGCACACCAATAATCACTGTAGCGCGCCTACAGGCGCAAAGCCCACTACAGCGATTACATGAAAATGAAATAATGTTTTTCAGAGTTCTTTTGTTGGCTGCTCGTCGTCGAACTGCTTGTGCAGTTCGCTCCTTGCAGCCACTGCAAGTTGAAGCTTTTCAGAAGCTCCTCACGACGATGACGAAAGCGGAAACCAAGCAAGTGCAAAAGGAGTACAAACAGGCGTAATGTTTCCCATGATGGAGCCCTTGAGAGCTGCAGGCTAAGACCCACTACTTATGTAGTGGGCATTGCGTGTACAAACCGATGTGACAAATGTGTGATGATTGGACCAAGACACCCTTCGGTGTATGCAAACAAACTTGTTTCGTCAAAATCAAGCTACAGTAGCTCCACATCAATAAAATTCCATTAACTTCTGCTGAGACTTACATTAAGCAGTAAAAACTGCAGTCTTTCCTCCCTACAAGCAAAGCAAATGTGTTGTGTTTATTGTGCTACAGAGCCAGACACTGAAAACGGTCCAACTCCCCCCACATGATAGTACAAACATATGTAACTAGAATGTACTACAAACTACTATAACTATCTACAGTGTCCTATATGATATTAGTATATGAGACTAGTACTTACGTGCGCGTATGGGCTCTGGTGTCATGTCTGGGACAAGGACACCATTTTTCAAAAATTACATATATGGTAACTACATGTAAGGATTATATACGGCTGTATAGTGTAGTGGATTATTGCGCTTTTTTGGTCTCCTTTTATGGCCAACCTAAGTTCAATTCCAGCAATTGACATCTTTTTTTTTTCACAGAGATAATTGAATCACAAATATGTATCTTGTTAGAAACTTGACAGATTGCTATGAAAATTTGTGAAATATATCCTCTCCCTATCTACCATTTAAAATTGGGGCAGGCACCCATTGGGGGCCACAACTATGAGGAAACAGGTTAGATATCATGAGTAACTCTTCCCATCAGCATGCATTTTTACACATGAAACCACAAGACAGGAGATTAGGCCAAGAGCTCAGATTAAATGCAAAGCAGATTTATGTTCAAGTTCCTCATGTTGAGCTAACAAGGATAGAGTACTGAAAATTACAATGAACAGGAATAATGATGGCTCTAGTGTCATGTCTGGAAAAGCTGAGAGTGTTTCAATTCTTTTCAAAAATGTGCATGTAAGAATTTACACTGATTATATATGTAGAATTACAGATCAACAGCAAGGGTTGTTTGGTTATGACAGATTTATTCTCAACTTTGGATAGATTTATTGTAACACAGTCCAGATCTTGATATTGTTACAAATTCTTTTTTTATGAATGTCAAGACTATGTGAGGAAATATTAACAACATACCAGCACTCCTGTATCAGCATTTTTAAAGCAGTACAACATTTTTTTTTACCCATTGATTCTGTCTTTTTGTTGCCTTTAGTGCAGCAACCTGCCATTAAGAGGAAAAAGTGCATGTAAAGTGCTTCCACATATTCTGAGATATTCCACTAGTATGGACACATACTTTGATGAGCAATTGGATTAAGTGGAACTGACTCTATGCTCAGAACAGCACAAATTCTCTTTTCAATGTTTTAAAAATGCATTCTGGGTTCATATTAATGTATCCTATAATTTACACAAGGTAAGTGAGCTATTCAAATATTTTTCTGGCCTGCGGCGCATAGCACAGGGAGAAAAGCCGGTAGGAGGTCAAATGTTTGAGCAGCTGCCTTTTTGGGCGTGGGTGTGAGATTGATGGCTTATGTCTGTTTTGGGACGACTAAGGTTGGCGGGAGCTCCACGGCAGACTTGTCACGTTGCTGTTGGTTGTTCGCTTGGCAACCCTCAACAATGTATTACTTAATAATTATTCTGGTGGCGACACATGTTTGTCACAGGTTCTTGCCATTCGCCCTTCCTTCAACACCGAGCGTTTCAGCGAGATACCCCAAATCCGACCTGCAAACCAGTGAAGCGTTCACGGCATACTCAATATTGTCCTCAATTGTTTGAATTCTCAGACTCCTACTTGGTGGTTATCTTGTGGTTGTCCACTCTCGACGGCTTCCAATATGTTGGTGGGCGAGGGCAGCTGGTAAGGAAACACACTTCCTTGACAAATGCTCCTCATTTTTACAGAGAATTTGTGCAGGCAACGTGCCCGGTCCACATGCAAGAGATTGAGGCCTTAGGCCGAGCCTCGCTTTGTTATTACTGTGCAGCCTGGTCTGGGGAACTAAGAGGGACTTCTGGGTGAAGTATAAGTCGGTAGAATCGTTTAAAGCCTCATCAAACCCTTGTCTTTATCTTCTGACTGTCCAAGCTACACTGGCCTTGTAGATGCTGCGTCATATGCTGGTGATTGTTGGTGAGTGGCCAAAATGTCGACATATCCACTATTCAAAAAATGACTGACATAGCAGGTTGTTCTACAAAACGTAAACATAAACGTTACCGCCTCGGGTGCCCAGCACTACTCATTTTGAGAAAGCGAACGCCACAAATTTGATCGTGGAGGATCTCTTCTGAATCTTCAGTTTGCGAGCTCTGCTCCCTTTTGTTCTCAAATACCCACTTCCTTGGTTGTTTCGCGCTCGCGGTAGCAACTCTTCTTATTCTCGAAGTGTTCCACTACTGCCTTGAGGATCTTTTCTGGTGGTCGCAAATTCTTCCGATGGTCATGATTTTACCGCCGCGGCCACGCATACAATGAAAAAGCGCCTTTCACGGTGATTTTCTTTTCAACTCGGAGCAAAGAACACAGAAAACTAATGCGTACTACATTCGAATAGCTAAAAACCGCACAATATAATATTTCCGGCCAGATTGTTCATTAGAGACGATGGCGAGGTCAATTCTTGTGTATCTCTTTAACCATGTTCCAAGGGCAACCTAGAACTTTTGGCGTTGGAGAACCACCTTCAAAATGAATCTATGGATGCTATCTTTCGACGTAATACTTCCACTGAGGATCTCGGGTTTTCAAATTGAAACCACTCCCACTTGTATAAAAGAGGTCCATTCTGACGATATTTTTCAGGATAATAGGCTGTAGCGCTCATCTCTCCATGGAACACTGTGCATCTGACAATGGCGACGGTTGTGGCGGTTTCTTTCCGCACAAGACATTGGCTGGTCTTTGCGCAAAGTGCCGCAAAATCTCAACGCTCGCAGATGGCTCAACAGAGCAAAGCCAATGGAAGGTAACTTTCACCATGCGTTTCTTTGTTTTCCGACTCAAGATATTGTCAGGGCATGCGACAATGTGTTGGCTGTGGACTCGCCTGGAAGAACCTTCAAGCTGAGTTGTGTGGGGGTTGTCTTCGCCTGGAGTCCGGGACTTCGGCGTTGAAAGGTCAGCCTTTATTCTGTGTTTTATGTGATAGTATTGTCTGAGACTTGTTTAATTACCCCAGGTACTTCAACATCTGAGCACCACCTTGTGCGCACAGCCGTCGATGCCTCTCGCCTTGCACGAGCTGATGCCCTTGATGCTCGGCTGCACAAGCAACCCCCACCATCTGCCCTTCATACGACGTCTGGGCTAGCATCTGCTCAACTCAACGCCACGCCAACCGGAGACACGAAGATATTCATTTCGGTCCAGTGTCGTCTCAAAAGTTCTTCGCGCCGTGAACAAAGTCAAACAGACCTTGATTGCGGCCAATGGGGCAAGCCATGGGCCAAGGCAGATTACTTATCGGGTATGTAATACGGCATCCTCACTCGGTTTGAATTACATATTCCACGTTTATCTTATAGAAGTCCTGGATGACTCTCTAGAAACATTGAATAATCGTTGGTCGAAAGAACACAAGCTAGACCTGATTCGGTATGTGTTTATTTATTCTTTCGCGTGGTTTTTCTGATATCCCCATTGCACATCAGAGACGAAGTTGAATTTCGTTGGTCTGGTAACAAGGTTTTCCTCCCGAATACCGCCAACAACACTGTTGGACAGGTTTACATGGAATACCTCACAGGCGACATGGCCGCCTTCTACACTCAACCTGAGGCCAAGGGTAAGCGAGGTTCTGGACCAAAGAACCAGCTCAGTATGGCTCTCGAGCTTTACGTTGACAAGCCAACGGTAAGTCGATCTTCCTTTGACTTATGTCTCATTTTGTTAACTTTTTCTTATTAGTTCATGATTCGCCTCAAGAAATTTCAAGCCGGTCGAAAAAGGAGTGCAACCGTTACATCCCTACTTGGCGAGGATGTCCCTGGACCAAAGCGACATGCAATCATTCCCAGTGACGGTAAGCCTAGTTGGATCTTTTGTGCCACTAGCTAACTTGTTGCACCTGCAGACCTTTGTAAATCATCTTTTGTTCGAACAAGCCGTGGAACTGTGGCAGCATCCACGGCTTCAAACACCGTTTCCTCCGTCAGCCTTGAGAAGGCGTACACAACGTGTGACGTTGAAACGGGCCAGGTCGAAATTATCTGGCCTGAGAATGCTGAAATTTTCAAGGGCTTCCTTGCGAAAGCCTTATTTGCCTCGGGCGCTACGAAACATGTTTATCAGGTCTGTCACAGTGCTTGATCATGACTCTTTGCTTGATGTTCAATTTACCTTCAAGCTTACAATGGATTCCGAGCTCTTTGTCGCCAAGAAATTTTTTGAGATAGGTTCTGATGATAGTGTTACTGCCGACGAAAATGCAGAATTCCTCAAGTGCGAGCTTATTCGCCTCAAGACAGCCACTTGGTTTCTTCGAAAATTCAAAGCGGCGGCCAAAGAGATGAAAGTCGATATCGCAACAAGTAAGCTGTTCTTCATCGCACAAATATGATACAAACTCTCTTCAGATATCATACTTTCCGAGGGGTTTCTTGCTCGCGAGGTTGGGACTCCCTCGGAAGCATCTGGACTTGGTCCATTAGAAGAAGGCTCATCAGCCGTTTGGCTTGTCGAGCCCCATCGAACCAAGACTGTTTTGAAATTCAGCGGCACCCTCAATCATCCGAACCGTCAGGACAAGGTTGGCACTACCATATCTTCTTTTGCTCATTTTTCGTATCAAGTGAGCAATCGGGAACTTGTATTCGCTGATATCCAAGGTATGAATTTGCTACAGGTTTTTACCAACCTCTCGAAATATTTCTACATAGGTTCCCCGATGAACATCCAAGGACGCGATACAATCGTTCTCTTTGACATAATGTCTCACTCGCCTACCACGTACGTTAATCTAACTTTTGTATCATTCTTTATCACCCTCGTTCCTTCAGTGATTCCGGAATCGGTGATCATGGCCCAGACGGGATTGAATCCTTCATTTCGCAACATTGCTGCAACCACATGTGTAAAGACTTGAAGCTTACGCCCTTATTGGAGATAGAAGGTGACTCTGGTGGTTCCGAAGGACACCCCGAGGATGACAACAACTTGGACAATAATGAGAAGTAGGCCTCTATTACCTGGTCGACGGGCATGCTCCCTATCTTTAGTCATTCCCTATGGCCTCGTCCCACTCTTCTCATTTTTGCATCCCCATCTTGTAACGTGTTCAACCTCTAGACCCTTTTCAGTTTGACTGCCGTTTGTCTATCCCTAGTCACTCCCGCAACCTGCTCCCACCCTTGCACCCCTTGTGACGTGTTCAGCTGCAGTTCTTTCTTTATCTTTACCTGTATCAATAGTCAATTTGCAAATTTGACCTTGCTTGACGGCCGTTGCAAATTGAATAAATTGGAGCCTGTTCTGTTCCCAATTATACGACTTGCCCACCTTTCGAAGACTTGACCTCCCAAAGTATATAATGAGCAACAATAACCTGACTGGTGTCAATGGCTATGGCGTCAAAAATTGTGCGTCAACTTCATCATGCTGGCAAATCCATGTATTGTGATTCATTTTATTTTACAGACCCCCCAGACAACGAACTACAGTCTTCGCTGCTGCAATACGCCAAGGAGCGACTCACTGTAGATCAACGCTTGCAGCGCCTCAAGGTCGACCATGGGCTTGACATCAAGTAAGTTGATGGTGCGCCCCTTGAATGGTCTGCTATGCTAAATAAAATTATCTCAGGAGCTCGAAACTTGCCCAGCTTAACAATAAATTCAGCGTGCCTAGTGTTCGGAAGCCTCTCCCAAGAGATATGGCTACTCAGGCGGTCCTTGAAAAGGTTGCAGAGGACCTTACTCAAGGAAACGGGGTAGGAACTATTGCAACTCTCCTCTGTAACGAAGGAATATCTTTGCCAAGGTGCGGTTGCATTTTCTTGACGTATCTTCCACTGCTTAATTCTCATGTCATTTGTTCTGTCAGAGACTTTATACGGAATGTATTGGCAAATCATGCCCCAGAGGGTTTAGCACGTCGCTTTCCCGGGGCCAATAGGATTCACCGCTCTGCGCTAGTATCAATCGGCCCCAATCATCAGCACCATGCAGATGGACATGACAAATTGAATGCGCAGGCGCTGAATATGGGCGGCGTCGGCTTTGGTATCTATGGTATAAAGGACCAGTGGACATCATTTGTGCTAGCGCTCGTCGTTGTTCCTAATAATCGACTGGCATGCACCACTGGCCATGTCCACCTCGATACGGTTGAAACAACGGGAAGTAAGTAAAGAATTTGAAATTTGAAATTTCGCATTCATTTCTTCAACTTCAATTCTCTTAAGTCATTCCCATCACGTTTATAATGGACAAGGGCTCGGAGACCGCATATATTTTTGCTAATCAAACCGGCCTGAGGTTAGTGTTTGTTGCCTCAGGAATTTGAATGCACGATGCTGATTTATTTAATTCTGCATTGACTGCAGGGCGGCTTATGCCCCGGATATTGACGCAACTAGGTTTCCGGCCGCCCAACATCTTCGCAGCGTTCATAACACGCCAATCGAGGGTCTTTGGCACTGGTTTCTCAAAACATTCGGATTTAATGTCAGAGACTTTATCCGTCAGGGATACCTCGATGGGATTTACAATCCGAATAACCCCGTGCACCCGTAAGTCAAATCATTTGTTTCTTTATGTATCATATCGGTGATTAGTTATGACTTAACTTCCTACCAGCCAATTATTCTACTGGCTGTGGCCGAAGATTCTCCAGCTCCAACTTGATATTTTTGTCGAATATTGGAACAACCATAAAATCCGATACCAGAAAGACAAACCCAACATGTCAGGTCAGACCCCTCGACACGCTTTCACAGTCCCGCCTGAAGCCCCGTACGAGAATTGTGGTATCAAGGTTGACCGGGCCGTGACCGATGCTCTCCGTGGACAGATACCCGTCTCACGGGAAGATTCGATGCGCTGGGTAGACGAATCATTTGAGAAAGCCGCAGAGGATGCATACAATGTGATAGGTCGGCCCCCACTTTCTATGGCTGTTGGATGGTCTGTTTTCTCCTCTATGGCACAATTGATCGATCAAGTGGGTAGTTAGTACTATATATGATATATATCGATATCAAGGCTCCTCCATCATGACGTGAAATGCTCAATGCTCTTATCGCCAACAAAGATTCGCTGCCAATCTTGCAAGACCTGCCGATCAAAGTTCACCAAACAAAAACTTTCTGCCGTGGAGCTCCCGCCAACGCTAGACGACCTTATGTCTTTTTTTGGACATGTCTCAATATAGACATAAATTATGTCTATATATGGACATAAGGTGTCCCAGACATGGCACCAGAGCCCGCGTATGCGCGGTATCGGCATACCGGAGTTGCCGGTCCGCCTCGACTATTCAACATACCCAAACATATCACTCAGCACCACCTCAGCGGCAGCAGCCTCTGGACTCTTCATCGTCATCGCGGACTTCTCTGTCAACCATCAGCAAAACAGCAACAACCTTGGTTTACCTTGGAGGCTTTGTAATCATCGCAAAAGTTTGCGATGTTTTGCTCCACCTTCCAATGTTGTAGAATTATATGATGAACTATAGAAAGGATGTCAAATTATCTAGTACTATGTAAGATTAAACCAAGGTTGCCGAGTGAATGTAAGGTTGAAGTAATTTTTGTAAGGACAATGGAAAGTCGACTGTAAGTTTTTTGAACATTCTAAAGTTGATCCAATATAGAATATGATAAGTTACAACTCTGCAGAGCCGTCAGACTCGTCATCGGAGAACTCGTCAACCTCTTCCGTCTCGCCTTCCATCTCCTCATCAACCTCAGAGCCTTCTTCGTCCTCGTACCCATAGTCAGCCTCCTCCCCAGCACATGATGAACCCTCGCCGCTCTCATAATCATCCTCGCCACTTCCGATATCCCCCGTTACCTCTACCCCCTCCATATCCTCATCTTCAGCCCCGTTATCATCTTCTCCGGGTTGGTCGTCATCCTCCATAGCAAGATCCTGTGCGGGTGTGGGAGGGACAGAATCATACGTCGCTTTGTGTCCTATACCCCCACCGAGATGCCGCATCATATCACGGTCAGCAAACCTGATGGTACGTCAGTTTACTAAGATCACAAAGAAATTGAACAGAAACTTACATGCCGACATAGTACTTTAGCCATTCCTCTTCATCCTTCTCGTTATGCGCTATGGAAGGACCCAAAAGTTCTCGAGTACGCCCTTGCGAGAATGCAGGCATGAGGTGAGCGGCTCGAGTGACTTGATTTGGGTCCAAAAATCCAAACACGCGATCCTCACTCCCATCGAAAAATTCCAATCGGATTCGGAGGCAGACGACGGGCTGTGAATCGCTCTGGTAGTTGGCGTCATTACCAAACCAACAAACTCATAGAACATCCATCCTCCGAGCTTCATTTGATGATGTTGACGAGTCGGGTCCAACGTAAAAACGTTGACGTGAAAAATCCCGATGACGCGAGCATACCAATGTGGCTGAGCATCCGTTCCAGGTTCTTCATCTGCGAGAACCATGATGTCGCAGTGCTCTGAGTAAGGGTTCACAGTATCTTGTAGAGGGCGCATGCCGTAGCTTGTGTAGTTGATACGTTATGTTCGATGCTTGTAAATTCGATCGTGTTGAAATCGAATGGCCGAACGATCCTGATCCGCAAAAGTGTGATCGTTGGTAAGATTGCCCAATTAATCTTTGAGCAACGGCATGAAGTTCTACAACCTATCCAGTTGGATGTGGAGCAATTGACGAGGTTGACTCACACGTAAAGCAGGGTCACCTGCGTTATCCGACACAAACTTGGGAATACGCTCGAATGGTCGCGTAGACTCGGAAATCTGATGGTGTTCGTTGGGTGCGATATTTGGCAGTAGGTCGTTGTCGATGGTAATTGGGCCGGCGTACTGTCGGAAACGTTTGAGTGCTGGCGATCCATCTGTGTTTTCCCCGGTCTCGCGCTTTCGCTTCTCTCGTAATCTTGCATTCCGCAAAAACTGTTCACAGCGCTCTTGATTTGTGATTTGTCGTTTGAAGCCGAATGTTTTGTTTGTGCACACTTGAAAGTGTTTCTCAAGCTCTCCCTTCAATGATGAGTAAGAAAGTATGATAATAAACATTGCACCGGCCGTACGACTTGTGTTGATGAATCTGAGTAGGGGAGGCGCGTTCCGGCTTTGAAAATGGAAAAAAAAATCAGTTCTATCGTTTTACAGCAAGATGCAAAAACGTAGACACCTCTCCAAATTTCCCAGACTCCGCCTCGCTTTGTACAAACAACCGCTTTAGGAATGAGCGGGTGTCCACCAACCTCCACTTCGTGCATTCGCTAGCGTCTCATCTATGTCACATCCTATCAACCCTTGTAACAATGAGATGCCGTTTTTGTTCGGCAGATATAAAGCAGTATTTCCCTGACATTTTTGAAGATGGGAAAAGAGAAATTATATAGAAGTACTTACCATATTTGTAGGAGTATATATAATAAAATGGCGCGCCATGAAGTCACTATGACGCGTCGCGCGGCGGAGTTGCACCAAATGCGGT